AGAGAGAGAGAGAGAGAGAGAGAGAGAGAGAGAGAGAGAGAGAGAGAGAGAGAGAGAGAGAGAGAGAGAGAGAGATTGGTGACTTTGGGACTTGGCGACGTTTGGGTCCAGACTGGACATTGGGATTCAGATATTTGACGAGGGATTATTTGGGACCTGTATCGAAGACTTGGTGTTGACGACATTCCCATCTTCCCCTCTTCTTCGTCTAACCCCCCTCTTCTTCGTCTGTGTATGGTGGGGGACTGGCGCATTCTTCCTGTGTGAGCGCCAGGCCCCTTCACACCATGGAATGATGATGATGTATGCCTGGTCTGCATGGCAACATTGATTGTTCGGATCATTGGTATTTAAGCCTTCCGCTGTGCTATCTTGTACTATGTGAGAGAGGTCGGTTCTTGTTCTTGTCTGCACCTTTACGGTATGTGACCCGGGCAGTGTAGAGGTTTCAGGGGGTGGAACAGTTGCTGCCTTTGTCCAGAAAGGTAAGGCGACCGGTAGACGAGGTGGAGGTTCCCGGTCTAGGAGTCAAGTTGACCCTAACACTCTTCCATAGGAGAAAGCGGGTCTCACAGAGGACGTGTGGAGAGACCGGTATACTAGGCAGGCCTGTATTCGTTGTGGTCAATATGGCCACAACCAATTCAAGTGCCGCAACAAGAAGGTGACCGAGAAGATCCCGCCTACGATGGGGCAGGCGTTGGGGTGCTCCGCTCTCGTAGGTGGCAATGTGACCAACAGTTCTGGCACTGCTCCGGGAAACACGTCAGGCCAGTAGGAATAGTGGTTGTTCCTGCGAGGGTCGAGGTGGTGGACACACCCTCACCGTCTCGAGAGATGGCCCAAGCTACTGACTCGATTGTCGTCCCATGAACACATTCGGACCCAGCGATCCTCTGGTCGCTGAATGTGTTTGAGTCCTTAGAGGAGCTAGAGGAGGAGTGGTCTAGATCGGACCCGCTAGCTTCTTGGACGGCTATGGCCAAAGCCCCTAAAGGTGAGTTATTCGTCGGCGAGGTAGTCATCGGCGGCCGTAAGGCCGGGGCCTACTATGACACTTGCTCGACGCGAAACTTCATTAGTCGCGCGTGCATTGAGAGGCTGCGTTTAGAGGGGCAAGTGCAATGCCTGAGTCGACTGGTGGAGTCGACCTGTGCTAACAAACAACGCATGGTAGTCACGACTACCTCAAAGACATTGAGTGTTTTTTCCCGTACGGGGGAGGGGAACTGAGACACCGAGTCTCGTTCCTTGTCAGTGATGATCTCCCTATGGATATCTTGTTAGGTTTGTATGACCTCTCGGTTGCACAGCCCCAGTTTGACTGGGACAAAAAAGTGGTCAAACACACTTTGCCCGAAGGGGGGACAACCAGATTACATAAGTTTAAGACTAGTAGTCTGATCGAGTCCTACGGATGCATGTGTGCGGCCGCGTTCTACAACTATTATAAGCGAAATCCGGAGGAGGGCATGTACTTAGTTTACGTCTCTGTAGAGGGTGAGCCGGTGAAAACGCCTCCAGAGATAGAGGGAGTGGTTGCTAGGTACCCTGATCTATTTGAAGAGCCGGAAGGGGTTGTTGAGAGGGAGGTCGTCCACGGGATAGAGATTATCCCTGGGTCTAGCATTCAGAAGGGTAGGATCTATCGGATGTCTCCAGGTGAGCTCGATGAGCTTCGCCGCCAACTCAAGGATCTCATAGAGAAGGGTTGGATCTGGCCTAGTGTCTCCCCTTACGGATTGCCAGTCTTATTTGTACCAAAGAAGAGGGGGACCTTGAGAATGTGCATTGACTATAGGGGCCTCAATGCCATCACAGTGAACAACACCGAGCCCCTACCGCTCATCGATAACTTGCTGGACTGAGTGCAAGGGTGCCGGTACTTCAGTAAGATAGATCTGAAGTCCTGGTACCATCAGATTGCAATCCGGCCCAAGGATCAACACAAAACCGCATTTCAGACCAGGCACGGTCTGTACGAGCTTGTGGTGATGCCTTTCGGCCTTTGCAATGCTGTTGGCACCTTCCAGCACGAGATAAACCGGATATTTCATGACTACTTGGACAAGTTTGTCATCGTGTACCTCGATGACATACGTATCTTTAGTAGGACTGTCGAGGAACATGTAGCACACTTAGATAAAGTCCTTAGCCTCCTTAAACAACACCAGTTCAAGATTAACCGGGAGAAGTGTGAGTTTGGCTGCACCCGGATCTTGTACCTGGGTCATGAGATTTCCATGGAGCCCGATGACGCAAAGGTGGCCAACATTCTTGATTGGTCGCGTCCTCAGTCCGTGACTAAGATGAGATCCTTAGGGATGACAGGCTACTACCGCAACTTTGTTCAGAATTATAGTATAATGGCCGCACCTTTGACAAACCTGACACGCCTTGACACCCCATGGGAGTGGA